CCTAGGAGAATAATTTGAAGAAAGTGCAGAAGGAAAAGTTGTAGAATTTTGTTGTCTGAAGAAGGAGAATGCCCCCCTTTTATAGAAATTTGCGTCTGTCGGGTCGGGACTGCCTTCTCGCCTGACAAGGTCGGGACTGCCATCTCATCAAACTGGACAGCGGTCTCGCCTTTGGCAAGTGGCGATTGGTGAGACAACGGTTTCGCCAAACGAGTCAGCGGTCTCACCATTGGCAAGTGGCAAGACGACGGTCTCAAACCTCTGGGTGAAATTTCTTTATTTTTCCTATACAAAAATTCTTCATATTCTAATATGGGGCCTATTGATCAATCCTAGGGACCTTTTAGGTTTTGTTCATCTTCGAATCAGAAGTCTTCTGCTCTTTATTTTGAGGCCGGACAAGATTTTGGGTCTACAAGTGATGTGAACATGACCTATGATAAGGGCTAGAGCAAGGGAAGCAAATGAAGCTCTTCAACAAGTATTGTTGGTTGACCAAATTGTGTTTTGAATTAATCAATTAATGAGCTTTAGTTTGGTTTTATTGCAAGTTGTAATAAGGACCCAATTAGAAATTTAGTTATCAGTCTTTGGGAGACCAAGAAGGTGCATAGTTGATTGACTTTTGGATGCCACAATTTCAGTTACAATCAATCATTAAGTAGTTTTCAATTCCTAGGTTAATAAATCATTATTAGCATTTATTTTCCTTTAATGAATATTTGTAACTCTGATGGCAAAACTTCTTTATAAACTGAACCATTTTTATCAGAAATAACAAGTTGAGTTTTATTTTTAGAAATATTAGAGTTTATCTCTTTTATCTTAGTGAGAGTGATTCTCCTATGTTCTTGAGTGATTCAAGAATATTTGGCTATATCAAAGGACTTTCACATCCTTTGTGAGTTGCCTTTCTTGGGAAGAGTGATTCTTTCCTTCTACCTTATAACTAAATTCTTAAATTTCCTATAAGGTTCTACCCCTAAAAATCCTAAATCACCCCTTGTGATTCATATCAGTTGGTATTCAGAGCCCCGGTTTAAAGGTTTGAACATTAAATTGATGGCAGAGGAGGATAAAAAGAGAATGAGAGAAAAATTTCTTCAAGAAAAGAGAGAAAAAAAGAAGAAGAGTGAAACACTTGAAGTGAAACAGAACTATTTAACCATAAAAAGTGAGTATAATGTTAGTTCTACATTCAATTTGTCAGACTTATCTCTTTTTTATGTAGATGACGAACCGATTAGAGGACAAATCCTTTTCAAGAGGGAGAGAATGATGTGAACATGACCTATGATAAGGGCTAGAGCAAGGATAGCAAATGAAGCTCTTCAACAAGTATTGTTGGTTGACCAAATTGTGTTTTGAATTAATCAATTAATGAGTTTTAGTTTCGTTTTATTGCAAGTTGTATTAAGGGCTCAATTGGAAATTTAGTTATCAGTATTTGGGAGACCAAGAGGGTGCATAACTGATTGACTTTTGGATGCCACAATTTCAGTTACAATCAATCATTAAGTATTTTTCAATTCCTAGGTTAATAAATCATTATTAGTCTTTATTTTCATTTAATGAATATTTGTAACTCTGATGACAAAACTTCTTTATAAGCTGAACCATTTTTATCAGAAATAACAAGTTGAGTTTTATTTTTAGAAATATTAGAGTTTATCTCTTTTATCTTAGTGAGAGTGATTCTCCTATGTTCTTGAGTGATTCAAGAATATTTGACTGTATCAAAGGACTTTCACATCCTTTGTAAGTTGCCTTCCTTGGAAAGAGTGATTCTTTCCTTCCCACCTTCTTTCTAATTCATAAATTTCTTACAAGGTTCTAACCCTAAAGATCCTAAATTAGCCATTGTGTAATTGAGATTCATATCAACAAGGATGTTTGGAAGAAGTGACATATAAACTCATGATTGGATAATTGATTATGTTAAACATCCATAATTCATAATGCTAATGTCAATCTAGCCCTCTAATTTTGAGAGATCTACCAAATATGAAATTGAATAGAAAAAAGCATAAGAAAATATAAAGCAAATATAATAGTGTCCCACATGCATGTCCATTGTAAACATTATAATCAGTTTCTCGTGTTGATGCAAGAGTCGGCAGATCCTAGGATGTATTGTGTAGTGAACATCAATGTGGATAAACATTAACGATTGACGGGTTGATAAAAATATTACATTTTGAAAAATCACACATCACATTGGATAAACAATGAAGTGAGTGATAGTAACTATATAATGGACTTAAAGTCCATGAGGTTTCTCACCCCAGTAAAAAATACTTTAAACTTGTATTTGACTTTTCTTATATTCTTGTAGTAAAGTGTTGTGAGGTTTAGTTTAAATTCTTGTTTTGGAGAGTGTGAGTGTAATGTCAAGGGCATGAGAGAGTTGTCTATGTGTTATAAAAATTTTCACATAATATTATTCTCTAGTTATCATTAGATAATAGTTGTGATTTTTCTCCGATTTTTGGAGTTTCTACGTTATATTCTTGTGTTGATTGTTTTTCTCTTATTTCTCTATTAATAGGGTAATTCTCGGAGATAAATGGTAATGTTCTTTATGACGTTTTTCCCATCAAAGCGGTATTGGAACTTATGGTTCAGTAAGATTTTTCTTAGTCTGTTCTGTGGTTGCAACTTAGTCTGATCTTCCACATCAGAAAAGATTAATTCCTTCTTGCTAGAGAATCATCCTTGATTGTTGAAGTTGCAATATCATTTGCAAGTGCTGTTAAATGTGACATAGAGAAATTTGATTGAAGAATCCATTTTGGTTTGTGGCAAACTCAAGTCAAAAGATGTGTTGATACAATTTTGATTACACAAGGTGTTGAAAAAAAGAACTTCTAACATGGAGGAAGAGAAATAGGAGGAACTAGATTTGAGAGCTGCAAGTGCAATTCGCTTGTGTTTGACCAAAAATGTTCTTGCAAATGTGTAGAAGATGTCAATGACAAAAGAACTTTGGAAGAAACTCGAAGACTTGTATCAAGCAAAGGACATATTAAATCGATTGTTGTTGAAGGAGAAGTTTCATAACTTACGCATGGGTGATGATACGAAAGTTTCTGATTATCTTAGTAATGTTAGGGGCTATTGGAGTCAAGATTGATGAAGAAGATATAGTATTAAGACTCATTTGGTCTCTTCTGTCTTTCTATGAGCTTATCAAACCTGTTTTGATGTGTGGTAAGGAAACTTTGAGATTTGATGAAGTTGCTGGTAAGATTCTTTCTGAATAGAGAAGAATGACAAGCATGCCAACAAACTCAATGATGGTTGTTAGAAGTGGGACACATGAGAACAACATGAGAACAAAAACCATAGAAAGAATATGGGATGTTGGAAATGTGGAAAGCCTGGGTATGTAAAGAAAGATTCTCCAAGTGAAGAAATATCACAAAATTGTGAGTCAAATTCAGATATTGTCTCTCTCATGTTGGGAGATGGTGATCTTTTGTAAAAAGATGAGTTAACTATCCTCATGGCATAATTGCGTTATCATGGAAAAGAGTTAGTTTTTGCTAGCGGTAATTGTGCAAGGGCATTGACTAATATTGATACAAGGTGCGTGGTGATTATACATGGGTGTTGCTTAGCATTGATGCAGGTGTGCAGTGAAATGAAATTTTTGGAATGATTTAATTTCAAGTGAGTATACTCTTTATGGTGGAGTATGAATGATTGTTGATGTAGGAAATAAAGATAAAAATGAAGATGTGTTTATTTTAATCATGGTAGAAATTGTTGGGTTGATGAAAATATTACATCTTGAAAAATCTCACATCACATTGGATAAACAATGGAGTGAGTAATAGTAACTATATAATGAGCTTAAAGTCCATGAGATTTCTCACCTCAATCAAAGACATTTTAAGCTTGTATTTGACTTTTTTTATACTCTTGTAATAGAGTGTTGTAAAATTTTGTTTAAATTATTGTTTTGGAGAGTGTTAGTGTACTTGAGGTCAAGAGCATGGGAGAGTTGTCTATGTGTTGTAAAATTTTTTACATAGTGTTATTATCTAGTTATCATTAGATAATGATTGTGATTTTTCTCTGATTTTTGGAATTTTCACGTTATATTATTGTGTTGATTGTTTTTCTCTGATTTCTCTATTAATAGGGTTTAGGAAAAATCCCAAAATCTAGGATTCTAGTCTTTGGCCTACCGGTAAGAGGCACTATGAATGTCCTATGACCTACTAAAATGCAGTGGATTGATGAATTGAATGATAGTAATTCATAATTATCCTAATTTTGATTCTAAATATCAAACATAAACATTATCCCATACTCATAAACATGTTGTGAACTAAATTCGAAAGCATACCTGAATTAGCCATAATGATGATATCCCTTGTAAAGCACTATTGATCTTATGGTCTTTCTCCTGAAGAACACTTGTATTTCTCTCTGAATTTTCTCTCTTGATGGGGATAGAAAGAAAGGAACGGGAACTGAAACTTACGTTTTGTGTGTGCTCCTAGAAGGGGATCATGACCCTTTAAATAACCAAAATTAGGTTAATTACTTAAGTTTTAGTATTTTCAATTTGACCCTCATCAAATTAGAAATTATTCTATGATTTCTACACAATTTTATTTTCATAACATATGTTTTTAAAAAAAAACTTTAATTTAATCATATCACTTGATTATTTGGTTTAATAAATAATGATCCTAATATATTTAAATTATATATATATATATATATATATATATATATATATATATATATATATATATATATATATAATCATGGAATGTCCATCAAACCCCCACCACCTTTTTTTTCTTTTAACTAGAAAATGACAGATGTAATTGCAACAAATTTTACCACCAACATGGCTTGAACAAAAACAGACCAGTTCACACTCACTTCGCATCTGTTAATCATATTATAAAGTGCTAATTACTATGTAAGTCGAACACATTGGTGACAACAAGGTTTGTTGCTCAATTTTCTTTGAGGAAGAAATGAATGGCATGGATGTCTCATCTTGGATGCTCATTGAGGACAGTGCAGATTCTGAAGGAGACACTAGCTTCTCTAACATTGGCCACAATGAGGATGATGTTGAATCTTGTACCTGTGACACTGCGGGTAAATGTGGTCTATTTGAGGACGGTGAAAGTCATGAAGATGAAAAGGGGTGTGGTGAATTTTGTCGTGATGAAGACAAAGGGTGTGGTTTAGATTGGAGGAACTCTACCGTTTGGCTTGCAGATGCATCCTTGGAAATCGAAAGCGCTTCTCCTTTGGCCGTTGAAGATGAAGAAGAAACAAGGATTGTGAGAGTGAATGTGAATGTGAATGATGTGGAAGATAAAATATTTTGGGGGATATGCATGGCAGTAGGGTACCCTTGAATGATGAGGCTAGATTTTAGAATAAGTGACCTATAAGTTCATTTCACAGAGCTAATTCATGCAGGCCAAAGGATACATACATTCATACATGTTTACTTTTCCTGTCCTAGTCTGCAGAGATATACCTTCTGACATTTTCAGGTACTGAATAGTTTTATTTGCAGTGTTTCAGACAATTCTCTGCACAATTTAGTGTTCTATAGTGTTTGTACAAGATTTGCATTTGATGCTCCAAAGGACAAGACCATTACCATCTTAATTATGTAAACTCTAGTGTTCACTGAACATAGTTTTGATTGAGTATTACTTTTTTGACCAAATAATATGATAAGTACTGCAAGAAGAGGAAAACAAAAAAATCTTAATACTACATGATATACTCTGACATGTGATTACAAGTTTCTACAAATAGAACAAATATTTGAACTTGAATAACACAAGTAGGAATCCAATTTTTTTATTTTTTTTTTGAAAGATATATGGGATTGGAGTAGTGTGATTTGTAAAAATAATATAAGATCCTTATTTGCAAATCTGTCAGGTTTATCCAAATCTTCATGCACATTATGGTGATGGTAATTACTGATAGAAATGACACTAAAATATGGAAACATGGAGTTTTCTGGAACCCTGAACCGAAAGTTTTAAAAGTGTCAATTGGTTTAGATGGATTATGATAATAAAACTTACATGATTCCATTATAATTAAAAGTGTTGAGAGTAATCTTAAATTTAAATCAACCTAATTCAAGTTTTTATGTTAGTCAACAAGCCAAATCCACCCTCATTAACAGTAAGCAAAAAATAAAAGTAAACATACTTAATATGCAGAATACTAAAAAAATATATATAAAGCTATGAAAAAATAAATTAAAATAGTTAATTTGGTAAGGGTTAGGTCGGGCTAAATAAACTCATTTCCCTTTTTTGTTCTTGTGACCTAATTTTAAGAGGTTCAATTTGGCTGCAACTAAGATTTTGTTCACCTAAATTTTGGGAGAAACCAACTCAAATTTCCAGCTCTATTATTATTCGACATGTTATAAAAATTCATATATTAGCGGTTTTAAACAGTTAAAATATTTTCTCATATAACTTTCCCATAAATACTTATGAATTTAAGAAAACTCAACATTTTTATGATATAAAAACATGACCATAAGATTGACTTAAAAATGATCTAAAATTAAAACTGAATACTGGGCGTAGTTCCATCATGGGAATTGTTGTTCCTTCTATTTTAGTTCATTCATGTCTCATATCATACATATTTTATTTAATTCATGCTGGAAGAAGATTATCGTATAACTTTCGTTACTTTTATTTTCTTTGCCAATAAAATTAGATAAACTTTTAAAGACATCCATATCCATTAAGATATTAAGTGATGAATTTATGAGGTAATTTTTTTTTCTAACCTTATTGTGTGTACAATTTTTGCGCACAATAATTAGTATCTTGTCGTGTCTTAAAAACTAATGATAACATGTAGGTGACGTGTGAATGTCCAACCAAATGAGAAAGACCTAAATGGGCCCCACAACACAGACCATGACCTAAATTCATCATGTGGAGACTTTTTATTTTTTATTTTTTATCTTACAATTATATTTATAATTTTTTTTTCATTGTAAGATGAACGGAGCATCGTCTGAAGAGAAGTAAGTAGTCGTGTCTGAGAATATACGAAGCATGACACCTCATCAAAACAATCTTGTAATTGAGAAATATATATTTCTCTATTAATCTAACGTTTTATTAATTTATAGATTTTTTTTAAATATAAAATTACCAAGGTCGAGAATTAAAAAAAAAAATTAAGATTTATGTTTTGATCCATTATAAGTCTTATATTATTATACTCTCTTCTTAATCTAGTAATACACCTTCAACATAAAATTATGACAAACAAAAACTAAAAAACAAATAATATCTCAAAAATTAAAATTGAATCTAACAATTTATATAATGAATATGATTTTCACTTAATTATAATGTTCCATCAAATTTATTTATTTTAAAATTTCTAAACTAAAAATTTAATTAAAATTAAATTTTATATCATCAACTAATAGTATATATGATTATTAACAAATTATTATTAAACTCAACAAACGTATTATATCCGTTAATTTGTGATTGAAGGATAAATGAAACTATTTTATAAATATTTTGACAAATAAAAGTAGTTATACAAAACAGTGTATACCTTGTAACGTGTCATATAATAATGTTTGACTTTTATTATAATGTTTTAAAACTATATTTAAAATAATTCTAAATAATTGATGATAAAAAGAAATATTAGCAATATATTGAAATCAAACTTGTTACGCTTCATTAACTTGCAACACACCTTTCGGCTTCTACATATATTTTTATTAATCAACTTAAATTTTGAATTCAACGTGTTACATTTACTTTTAACGTTAACGCACTTCTAAGACACGCACCCAAACAAATTTTAATTCATCAAATTGTTTTATTTAAATATAAATTATTCATGATGGTTATTAATAATTAAAACAAGTGATTAAATATCCTCTCAATTACGTTGATCACACTTTTTTTCTATTCAGTTATGGTCAACGAATTTAACTTTTTTTTTTTTACTCCAAAGTAAATTAATTATTTTAAAATGGTAGGAGAATGAAGTCTTTTGACTTGGGAGACTTTGGGGAACACATAACAAATTGGAAGGAACTTGGAAGCAGCACACAAATATACGTATGGAAATCATCAATCAGTGTCACAGTAATATTTTATTTGTTTCGAATTATTGTTTTGTATTAAGGGTGTAAAAACCTTTTATATTGTGACTTAATTTTCATGTTATTAACAAAGTGACAAAAAATATAATTAATAATAAGGTTTATGGTATAATTTAATTTCAACTTATAATGAACATAAGTCCATTTTAGTCAACATCACTGGACCCGACATTGGACCGGATTTATCAGACCGGACAACGAACCGGACTCACGAAACTGCTCTGCTTTTTGAGTGCTCTCTACTCTCTCCAGGTGAAGCTTCATTTTTATTTTTATTTTTATTTAATTAAAATATCTCTATATGTCTTTTATAAAATTAATTTCTGAAGTACGTTTATTAATAATTAAAGACTCAGAAGCAAGTTTTAGTTATCTTGCACAAACGAAGATTTAGTTTTCATTTAGATATAAATGAAAAAAAATGAAAAATGTATTAAAAGTAATAAGCCATATCCTCCTATAAATATTTATGATTAACAAAGTTTCTGGATATTCTGCATTCATATCGCAATAAGAAAAAAGACATGAAACATTTTTAAGTTGTTGAAATTGACAGTAAAAATATTCAGTACATTCTAATGTTTTAATATTAAAAATTTAGGTAGAAAAAGATAAGGAACAAGTTCAAGAATGAAAGAGATTCCCTGGTCTGAAATAATAAATAACAGTAATATTCACAAATAATGTAAAATAATTTCCAGGAGTAGGACCTGCGGTCTTCAACAGTTCGTTGATTATTTTTTGTTCAATCTTTGTTGGATTCTATTCCCTTCACTTCTTTCTTTCTCTTTCCTTCTTATTTTTTTCTTCTTATGCTTTTCTCCTTGTTTTTTTCCCTCGGTTTGCGCTTTTTGATCTTTGTAACTAGCTAAAATGCAAGCTCCTCAACCATCACTCACTGATGAAGCTCCCGAGATTTCCCATCAGGTTCTCTTTCCATTTCTTGCATCTTTAGCATGCCAAGTTCTTTTCTTTTCACTTATTTTTTTCTCCTTTGGCGTTTCCATATGATTTTACAACTCTTCTTTATAACCCTTTTTCATTTTGATTCCTCATATAGGCACTGGATTATCCCCCTGTTAGTGTCCCAGTCATGTAATGGGCACGGCATGCAGTGACTGGTGTTTGATTTTTTTATCCAATTAAGGGTTTCTAATTTTAGCTCATTCTGCTATCTCTACACAAGACTGTTCCTTAAAAGCCCACGTTTTTTACTCGTTTTCCTTATTTGTGTCACCTTCAATATTTAGAATGTTGTTGGGTCAGGATATGAATCTTCTTTCTTTCCTCTTTACTGTGGGCTGAGGTTGAAATGGACATGAATCTATGTTTAAGTGGCTACCTTTTTCTGATGAGAGCATGTCGATATGTGTGTATCTGTTGTACAAGTTGGTTTTGTTGTTTCAATTATAAGAGGGTAAAGGAGAAGATGGGGGACAAGGCCATGTATATGCTCTAACCGGCGGTGAGAAAATTTGGATTTTAAGTTTGTGGAGGTTATTGTAGGTCCTTGAAGTTGATGCTTCAGTTATGTGCTCTAACGGATAATGTCGTTTGCAAAAGGGTTGTGGATATGACCTTTATCTTCTTAACTTATTTGACATCTTGCTGTGTTTTGATTTACCAGTTTCTGTAGAGAAATTTATAGAATTTTTGCTAGTTTAATTGACTTAAGCGCTTGATTCAATTCTTGAATCTCCGAGTGAAAAGAGGACATCTAATGATGATCAACTTGTTGAGGATCATTAGTTATTCATCATGGAACTAGATTTGAGTGCACTCTTTTGATGTGCTTGCATTTTAATGATAGTGTTTGGCACATGCAATCTTTTTACATGCTTGCATTTTAATGATTGCATTCATGATGTTCTCTTTAAGCATTTTTGCTACATTATATGCTGTTCTTTGTCAAATTATGTCAAACTGCTGGGAGCCTGGCACAAGCTTTTGTTAAACTGTCCTTGTTACATGCAGGCTGTCCCGCAGCGAAACAAGGAAGTTTCAGATAGTGGACCCAGTGGTAGGCGCCCTGATATCTCACTTCAAGTTCCCCTTAGACCTATAGGGTTTGGAAGCACTAGTGGTGGAAGGGTTTTGGACCATTCTCAAAGTTTCACTAAAGGGATTTCATCATCAAGAGGCTTCTTGCGGGCCTTGAGCTTCAAAAGAAAAGGAAATGTAGTGGATGGGGAAAGAAGCTGCCTACTTAGTTCAGACCCCAAGACAGCTGCAGAAGGTTCTAATATGGCTTCCATTTCTGAAATTGCATGGAAAAGATGTACTTCTCTTCCTGTTACACCTGCATCAAATCTGTCTCCTTCAGTTGCTACACCCATTTCTGCAAGGACATACAATGAAAAAATTAAGCCGCTTGTAAGTTATCTTCTACTGATCCTTATTTATGAATTTTCAAGATGAAATTTTGTGCTAACTGTACCTGCGGCCGTATAAAAAGAGAATCACATTTAAAGGTTATATTACCATCAGGAGTCAGGATATTGTTTCAAACATGCTATCAAAGAAACTGAACATGTGCCTCCACCAAAATGGGAAAGATGAAACTGATCAGATGTGAGATTTTCAATGATGTATATTAGAAAGCATGAAGTTCAAACTCATGTTTAGCGCTTTCTGATGCATATTTTATATGCATGGTTGCCTAAAATTAAGGATTGCCTTTGGTATAAAAAAATTAAAATAAAGTGCCTTTTATTTGTAAATTGTTTATGCAGAAAGATGTTGATCATTCTAAGGTTTCACGGTCCCTTTCTGTACCTGGAAGAAATGTTGTTATTGTAAGATCTGTCTCTTTTTCTACCCGTAGTGAACAGGAGCAACAAGATCAAAATGATGGTATGTTATGCCATAAACTCTATTATTACAGTTTCATAGTCCTACTTTTTTCTGTTTTTAAAGTCTTAAGCTTGAAGATATCTAGTCCCTTTTCAAAGGTTGAAATTTGTTATAATCCCACCTCATATGGCCTTTCCCCTCATCACCATGTTCATTTGTTAGATGGAACTGAATTTAGAAGCCTCTTAATTGGATTAGTTTATGTTAAGGTTTCAGTTAATGGACTTTTATCATAAACAAATATTTCAAGTCAGGGGTTTGACACCTTATCATTATCATTCAATTGGGTAGAATATCTTGATCCGTGGACAAAGTTTGAAAACGTTGTTTGTTGACAATAGACAAAAAACTGGAATAGTTCTGTTATTTTTTGAACCATTGAAGTGTAACTAACACTTGAGTTACTTTACACGTGTTTTTAGCATATATCACATTTGAAACTAATAGGAACTTTCTATACTTGGCCAATCAGATCAAATAACTCCTGTGCCAGTAGAAGTTACTGCCGATGAAGAAATTCCTGAAGAGGAAGCAGTGTGCAGGATATGTTTTGATGTGTGTGATGAAAGGAATACCTTTAAAATGGAATGCAGTTGCAAAGGTGACCTGAGATTGGTGCATGAAGAATGTTTAATCAAATGGTTTAGCACAAAAGGAGACAAGAAATGTGATGTATGTAGGCAAGAGGTTCAGAATTTACCTGTAACTTTGCTTCGTGTGACAAGCTCTGTTCAACAACAAAACAGGCAGATGCACGGTCAGCAGAACCTACATCCAGAGTCAATAAGGTGATTTGAAAACCATTTTCTCAAACAAAGCAATCCATATTTTCCATTCCTTACCATGGACACTTTATGTGTCATTAACTGAGCCAAATGGCATCGTGATATTCATGAAACTGAGCTCACCTAGTGAAATAAGACTTTTGTTATTGTTGTATAAGCATCTGATTGTTCCTGTATTTTAGTCTTCTTCAACTAAATTTCTTAAACATATTTTGCAGCGCTTGGCAAGACTTTGTTGTGCTTGTCCTGATCAGCACGATATGCTACTTTTTCTTTCTTGAACAGCTACTGGTATGCATTATCTCCTTGTGTGTATTATCTCCTTTCTGGTTTCAATGTTATTCTTACTTTTGGACATTTCTTGATCTTTTAACCTATTAGTTTCCTCTAAAGCATAGAATTCACATATATAGAATAGAGCCAAGACTTAGAACACAGCATGTTTCAAGTTTCCCATATATATTTTACACGATGTATTCATGGTACAAGTTTATTTTACTACAGACAGTTGGGGGAATAGAAAAATAAGCAGTAGCTACTCATATTACGATTGTATAAACAACCCTTCCCCGGTAGAAAGTAGTCTATCAAAGGAGGTATTATTAGAATGTATATTGTTCTCAGGTGTTCTGATTTTTTCTTTCTTTTTCTGAAATTTTGGTATTCAAGCATACTTGGTTTTACTTATTGCTTGCTCCATGTTGTAGCTTCCTGAATTTAAGACTCAAGCTATTATTATAGCAGCACCATTTGCCTTTACCTTGGGCCTCCTAGCATCTATTTTTGCAGTCATCCTGGGTATAAACTCTGTAACAACCTATTTTTTTTGTTACGAAATGAATTTTTTCTTTGAATTTTAATTGTATATTTACTTATATTGGTTGCAGCAATTAAAGAGTATATATGGACCTATGCTGCTCTGGAGTTTGCCCTTGAGGCTTTAACTGTGCATCTATTTTATAGCATGGTGAGTACGAATGTAGAAATTTCTTGTTCATTTCCCAGGATTGATGCCAGATGAATCAAATGTCTACTAATTATTATTGCTTCAAGATTTTCATATTAATAGCCGTAGTTATTAATCTGCCACTTATGCCTCCTCTGTTGCATGTATCTGCTGCATACACACATGATTCTGTGTGTTGTCTAGCAAACTTCACACTTAAGCTAATTGTAGTTTACCAAGAAAACATTTTATTTATGTTCTTATTTCATAAGTACTTACTCAGAAGTTCATTCACGTATTCTTTGTCTTTTGTGTTTCATTAACAAATTACAGTGTTGTTTCCTTGGTAATTGAAAAAACTATACATCCCAGATCGTTAGTTGATTACCTGATTGACTCAAGTGTAGCTTTTATATGCTAAAAATTTGTGACTCTGTTGCAGTTGCATTTGACGGCCATATATGCCATACTACTTTCATCAGTTTTGGGTTTTGGAATTGCTATGGCCATCAACTACGCATATATCCAATTTGTCACTTGGAGGCTTCAAGTCTCTTATGATGATAACCCAGTATGAATCACAAGGGAAACAGCTTCATGGATTTTTTTTTTCTTTGTATCTACTGACATGATGACCTGTCACAGTGTTTATTATGAACCTTTGATTGTCAATCAATACCACTACCATGTAGTATATTTTTGACAAATAAATTTCATGAAAGTGTATAAGCAAGAAAAACAGAATCCTTGACAGTTTTCTAAGAAATTATAAATTTATTTCACCGAATACTTTTCTATTAGAAAGGTAAGAAGCAACAAAAAATTCTCCTTGCCATTGCTGGAAAGCTTTCAGTTTTGGCAAAGCACTGATGAAAGCATCTCGACTGGTTACATTTTTCATCTGTGGAAGTCACCTGAGAGCAAATAAATACTTGTTTTCTTACAGTTAACATCATAATTTTGATATATAACTTTACTTCTCATTTTATTTGATTAAAAAAATTACAAAGTGTGCTTATTATAGGAAGAGATCCATAAGACGAAGCAAATCCTCCGCAGATGGGTTTGCTGGTGTTTATATTTGTATTACAATTTGGTTGAACAATGTGTGAAAATTGTAGTAAACTATTTTTAATATCAGTATTAAGAGAAATACAATCATTTATCATGATTAATAACAGATGATTGGGTTGTTAAACAATCTTCACTGTTAAAAATTTGGTATTTGAATTATCAAAGGAAAAAATGAATTGCAGGAACTAACTACTGCTTTCGAACACTCTCAGCACTTCATAGAAGCAACAATGAATGACTAGAAAAAAATTAAGATTTTTTTGTTTTTGGTGGTTAACGCTAAACTTCATAAATACACATTTCCATAAGAACCGTTGAATTTACCCATGGACAGTATAAGTACAATGGTGCAACCTGGCAAAGCATCAATTTACTAACTGGAAGCAAAGTATAAAAGTACGAGTAGATATTTTATGTATTATCTTCCTTTACTTTTTTCACAACAGAAAAAGTAACACAATGTATCTTGATAAATTTACGTAAAAAGGGAAAAAAATAAAACTAAATTATAATCTATAAACATGTGGATGAATTGGAATCCAGGTCTCCTCCATAGACAAGAAAATGCTTATCGTACATTGAAAGATAAGACAATGTTTGGCTAAAAGACGAGAATTGTTTTAATTCCAAGTAGTTTTAGATATTGTTTGAAAATAGTATGCTATTGAGAACCTGTATATTTCCACTTTAACCATTACGTATAATATATATGCTTCATCACTCTTACAAAGCTTACTTGGAACATACACGATTATTGTTAACTGAAGACATATTTTGTTACAATATTTGAAGGAAACATACAAAGATTTGAAGTTGTCATTGAGATGGCTGAGGTTGACGTTGAAGGTTTGTTTAGCAATGCCATGAACGGGCAGTGGAGGGAAGCTTTAGAGGCCTACAACAAAAACCCTGGTGCATTGGAGGCTAAGATCACAAAAACAGAAGACACAGTGTTGCATGTTGCAGTGTATTTAGGTCAAACGGGCTTTGTGAGGAATGTATTGGATGGCATCAACGAAGAGGTGTGTCTCAACGTGTTGAACATGCAAAACTCAAAGGGAAACACTCCTTTGCACCTTGCAGCAGAGGTTGGGAACGTGGACATGTGCCACAACATAGCTAAGAGGGATTCCAAACTCATTTGTGGTCGTAACCTGGAAGGTGAGACCCCTCTCTTCTTGGCAGCTGTTCATGGCAAAAGAGACGCCTTCTTATCTCTGCATGGCCTAAAGCAAAACTGTGATGAAGATGATGATGCTGAGGATGACTCCTTGGCTAAGAAAAGCAATGGCGACACCATTCTACATTCTACCATCGCCAGTGAATACTTTGGTTCGTGTCTTTCTCTTATTTTTTTTACTTTCAGTTTGATTCTTTGAGTCATAAAGTTTCATTCATTTTTATCAGTTTCATTTGCATTCACTGCATTAAGTTTGATTCTTTGAGTTTAAAAGTTTCATATTAATGCAATTGTTGCATCAAATATGTATTTTTATCATTGCATAACGGAATTAATTTTGGTTGACGTGACACATCTTTCACTAGATTAACAAGTAAGAGTAGTAAATCGAAGGAAGCTCTAAATTAATCTCAGACACTCTAAAAAAACGAAACATGTTGAGCTTGATTAAAAAACTAGATTGAAACAAAACATATATAATAAGGTATAAAAATGTATTTTTAGCCTATTAATTATTGTCATGATGTTAATTAACCAAGAAATTTAACACATCTTCTGAAGTTTTGACTCAAGTTTTTTTATGAATTATATATTAAATTTGTTAATTTTTTTGTAAAAACAAAAATTTAATATTTCAAGTACACTTTTCCACCCACATATTTATTCATTTCAATTGCAAACAAATCATTTATCAACATATATATGTGTTGTTATTAATATAAACAAAAGTTATGTTTATTATTATAAAACTGATATTAATATAAAGATTAAACTTTTATAACTCCATATATTAATATATTATACATAATCAAAATATCTGTTTGTAAATGTGTAATTGAATTTGATAGGTATGGCGCTTGAAATAATTGAGCTGTATCCAAAGCTTGTGAATTCTGTAAACCAGGACGGGTTGTCACCTCTGCAGGTTCTGGCTGGGAAGCCTAATTGTTTCAAAAGCTGCACGCGGATGGAGTTACTTCAGAGTCTTGTTTACAATTGTAAGAATATAACTTCCATACACCAAACTTTTTCTATCTTTTATACAATTATTCTCTCAAAACCATCTCACAAAATATGCCACAAAAGGTTGGATCTATGGAACCTATATACATAATATAATAGTCTAATTTTCACATTAACTGAAGTGCTTATTACTGATAATTGGTGTTTTATTTTGGTCAGTTTCGATGGTTGATGAGACCGAGGAAACAGATGATGCACGTCACAATGGAGAAGACAAAACTCATCACTACCCAATTAACTATGAAACATGCGCCGCCTTCTTCTCCTTGTTGAAGAGTACTTGTGCGTCAATCTTGTTTCATTTTTATCAAATCACTCCTTGTACCTAGTATATATCATGTCACAGTGATGTGTGGATACTTCATATATCATACATACTGTATGTTAATATTATTATCATATCATATCACTTATTAATACTTCTTCTTTTTCATGCTAAGTGTTAATAAGATATTCACCACTCATCTTTTTCCATCATGGTATGGTGGCAAATAAAGCTTAAGGCATCTATCTTTTACACTGTTACAGCAGTAGGAAAAGATGACAAAGCTGCAAGCAATGATGAAGAGAATAATGTCTCGCAAAAATCTGGTAATTTTCCCATATTGTGTGTGTGTATTTGATGATGTTACTCCTACCCTCTAAAATAAATCTAAGAGTATAAACATGTATAACACCAAGACATTTCAAATGTTGTGTTAAAAGATGATGTAAATTCTAGAAATATCTAGAAATTAAAATCCTAGATGCTACTACAATTAGGAATTTCATACGAGTAATATCTAGAATCTTTAGAAGATTTTAAAAATATTTGAAAGAAGAAGATAGATAATTCTAGAGTTAAGAAAATCTAGAATTATGTAGAATATTTAGGAGATGGTGGATCAAGCCTATAAATAGGCAATGCCACTTATGTAATGTGAGGGGAAAATCTAATACAAGCTCCCACATATTTTGTAGCACTTTCAAGATCAATTACTATCTTCCCTCATACAAACTTTTTCTTATTTGTCCACCTTATTCTAAAAAAACTATTTTCTACACAAATCTCACTACTAAACATCAAACCATCTTTCCTATCCTTCCTAAAATACTAACAGTGGTATCAGAGCTACATTCGGTCACCTACTGGGCGTAGAGAAAAATTTTCGATTACCTTAAAAAACTCAATCCCACTACACATTACTTTCAAAAGAAAAATTTCAACCTATGGTCACTACCAACCAAACATAATTTATTCTAGTCCCTATTTTCAAGGGAGAAAATTATGATTTTTGGAGAGTCAAAATGAGGACATTTTTTTGTTCTCAAGATCTTTGGGACGTCATAGAAGATGTGTTCACTATTCCATAAGACATCTCAACTCTTACAGCTGTCCAGAGGAAGGAGCTGAAGGAAAACAAACAAAATGATTCAAGGGCATTATTTGTTGTAAATTAAGGGGTATTGCAAAACAGAGCACACGTTACAGAAGACTGTTTCAGAGCACACGTTGCAGAAGACTGTTTCAGAGAACGTTTTAGAGAACGTTACAGGAAACGTTACAAACCCACTACCAAGTCTTCCATAACTGTTACAGACTTTCTCTTATAAATAGAGACTACTTCACACTCTTCAGTAGACACCTCTCTCATCTTCTTTTCTCTGATCTTCTTTCTGTGATCCTGGGTTAATTTACTCTTTTGAGAGTTTTTTGCTAGTTTATGAGATCCTCGGATATTCCGAGAAGTTCCTGTTGTATCCTGGGGGACTTGCGCAATACACCGCGGATAAGTCCTTAAGGGCAGTGTTTATACACGCCTCAGGAATAAAGTTTGTTCGTGTCTCTGTCAGCTTTTACAACATTATTCACTCTTCAGTAAGCAGTTGATGACACTATTTTTCCAAGAATAATGGGTGTCACAAGTGCAAAGGAAGCTTGGAATACAATTTAGGAGAAGTTTCAAGGAAGCGATGAGGTACGCAATATTAAACTCCATTCACTAAGAAGAGAATTTGAGTTAATAAGAATGAATGAATTTGAGACCATAAAATATTATTATTCTAGAATAAAAGAAATAGTTAGTCAGATGAGAGTCTATGGGAAAAATATTCTTAACAAGAAAATTGTTGAGAAAATTCTAATTTCTATTCCCCAAAAATATGATGCAATTGCAACTGCAATTGAACAAACAAAAAAGTTATCTAAATTATCGGTGACACAACTAATAGACTCTCTTGAAGCATATGAACAAAGATTGAAAAGGCGTGAAGAAGACTCAGTCGAAAATGTCTTTCAATCAAAACTAAAATTATGATCTCAGAAAGGAGGAAATAAAATTAATAGAGAACTTTCTAGGAATAAGGAAAACTCTAGAAATTTTTCCAAGACTATTCAAGGAAAATGCCCTTCGTGTGGCACTTGCAAAAAGACAAATCACTTGGAAAAAGATTGTTAGCATCGAGGAAAACCTCAAAATGTCAATATTGTAAGAAATTTGGACATGTGGAGAAAATATGTCACAACAAAAATCATCAACAAGCAAATTTTGCTGAAGAACAGGATAGAGAATAACATCTCTTCTATGTTACGGGATGTTCTGATAATGAATCAAAAGGAAGATGGTACTTGGACAGCGGGTGTAGTAACCATATGGCGAATGATCCAAGCATCATCAAAGAAATTGATAACTCCATCAAAGTTCAAGTGCAATTGGGAAATGGCACCATGGTAGAGTCAAAAGGAAAAGACAATGTTATAGTGGAGACTAAGAAAGGTATGAGACTTATCAATGATGTTTTACTAGTTCCCAATCTTAAAGAAAATCTCTTTAAGTATTGGTCAAATGATGGAGAAAGGATATACTCTACACTTCAAAGGAGATACATGTAAAATCTATGACAATAAAAGACGAGAGATAGGAGAATTAAAAATGGAGAAAAGAAATAGAAGTTTTCCTATAAGCTTCAAATATATTACTGATATTGCCATGAAAGTTCAAGTTGATGATTCATGGCTTTGGCATAGAAGGTTTGGACACTTCAACACTTAGGCTTTGAAGCTTTTACATCAAAAAAATATGATGAGAGATCTCCCATACCTGAAAGAGAATAATGAAGTTTGTGAAGGATGTCTTCTCCGGAAACAACATAGATTATCATTTTCAACCGACAGAGCATGGAGAGCAAAAGGTTTGCTAGAATTAATCCATATAGACATTTGTGGACCGATGAGGACACCGTCACTAAACAACAACAGGTACTTTATCCTTTTCATCGATGACTTTTCTAGAATGACCTGGGTTTACTTCATCAAAGAAAAATCAGAAGTCCTTGGAATATTTAAGAAGTTTAAAACTCTCATCGAGAAACAAAGTGGAAGACACATAAAAGTTCTTAGAAGTGATCAAGGTAAAGAATATAACTCAAATGAGTTTGATAAATTCTGTGAAGATGAAGGAATAGAAATACAACTTATAGTTGCATAAACACCACAACAAAATGGTGTATCAGAAAAAAAGAATCGCACAATGATGGAGATGGCGAGATCAATGCTGAAGGAGAAAGGCTTGCCAAATACGTTTTGGGCAGAAGCGGTGTACACTGTCGTGTATATACTCAATAGATGTCCAATTAAGGCAGTCCAAAACAAGACTCCTATTAAATCTTGGAGTGGAAGAAAATCATCAACTAAACACCTACGAATATTTGGATCAATTTGCTACATACATGTTCCTGATTAGAGGAGACATAAGCTTGAAGACAAAACTATAAGAGGAATATTCTTGGGATACAGCCAACAATCAAAAGGTTATCGAGTCTACAACCTACAAACAAAGAAACTCGTCATCAGTCGAGATGTTCAGGTTGACGAAAATGCTTCTTGGAATTGGGAAGAAGAAAAAATTGTTAGAAGCAACATCCTGACTCCAGTACAACAACTTGAAGAAGACACAGGAGATCCAAATATGCCTCCACAACAAGAAGAAAAATATACTTCACCAGAGTCTACACCAAGACGTGTAAGATCTTTGGTAGATGTATATGAAACTTGTAACATGGTCATCATTTATGAAGAAGCTTCAAAGCAAGAAGTATGGGTCAAGGCCATGGAAGAAGAAATCAAAATGATTGAGAAGAATAATACTTGGGAGCTTGTGGACTGTCCTCACCGAAAAGATATCATTGGAGTAAAATGGATATATAAAACTAAGCTCAACCCTGATGGAACCATACAAAAATATAAGGCAAGATTAGTCGCAAAAGGATACTCACAACAACCTAGAATCGACTACAATGAGACTTTTGCTCTAGTTGCTCGCCTGGATACAATTAGAGCTTTAATAGCCCTTGCTGCACAAAAAGGTTGGAACATCCATCAACTAGATGTCAAATCCGCCTTTCTCAATGGAACACTCGAAGAAGAGATCTATGTTAAGCAACCACAAGGCTTCATCAACAAAGGCCACGAAGGAAAAGTACTAAGACTAAGAAAAACTCTATGTGGCCTGAAGCAAACTCCTCGAGCATGGTATAACAAAATTGATAAATATTTTATTGATCAAGGATTCAGGAGGAGTAAGAGTGAGTGAACCAACACTTTATATCAAGACACAAGGTCAGTATAATCTCATTGTCTCCTTATATGTTGATGATCTCATCTATACAGGAAACAATAAGGAAATGATGAAAGAATTCAAAGAAGATATGATGAAAACATTCGAAATGACTGATCTTGCCTTTACGAACTACTTCCTCGGGATAGAGGTGATACAAAAAAAAGAAGGAATATTTATCTCTCAGAAGAAATATATTGAAGCTCTACTAAAGAGATTCAAGATGTACGGATGTAAACCTGTCACTACTCCTTTAGTGGTAAACGAAAAGCTAAAGAAAGATGATGACGCACCAGAAGTAGATGTATCACGATACAGGAGTTTGATCGGAAACCTTCTATATCTCACAGCTACACGGTCAGACATTATGTATGCTACAAGTCTTCTGTCAAGATTCATGCAAAAACCAAGCCAGATTCACTATGGAGCAGGAAAAAGAATTTTAAGGTATCTGCAAGGTACAAGAGAGTTTGCTCTATGGTACAAGACCATGACCAACTCAAGGATGATTTGCTACACCGACAATGATTGGGCAGGATCAATAGACGACATGAAGAGTACGTCAGGATATGCCTTCTCACTTGGATCGGGTTTTTTCTCATGGGCATCAAAGAAGCAAGTAACTGTGGCACAATCAACAGCAGAAGCAGAATACGTAGTTGCTACTGAAACTACAAGTCAAGCAATATGGCTACGAAGAATACTTGAAGAAATGGGTGAACCACAAGATGAACCAACTACTATCTATTGCGGCAACAAATCAGCGATAGCAATGACAAAGAATCCATTCCATCATCAAAGAACAAAATATATAGCTATTAAATATCACTTCATCAAAGAGGCTGAAGCGACTAAACAAATTCAACTTGAGTACTGTACTACAGAAGATCAAATTGCAGACATATTTACCAAGGCACTACCAAGAGTCAAGTTTGAACAATCACCTTTCATGCTTGGAGCTACAAGAATTTGCATCAAGGAGGAGTGCTAAAAGATGATGCAAATTCTAGAAATATCTAGAAATTAAAATCCTAGATGCTACTAGAATTAGGAATTCCATATGAGTAATATCTAAAATCCTTAGAAGATTCTATAAATGTTTGAAAGAAGAAGATAGATAATTCTAGAGTTAAAAAAATCTAGAATTATGTAGAAAATCTAGAATTATGTAGAATATTTAGGAGATGGTGGATCAAGCCTATAAATAGGCAATGGCACTTATGTAATATGAGTGAAAAATCTAATACAAGCCCCCAAGTATCTTGTAGCACTTTCAAGATCAATTACTATCTTCCCTCATACAAACATTTTCCTATTTGTCTACCTCATTCTAAAAAAACTATTTTCTACACAAATCTCACTACTAAACATCAAACCATCTTTCCTATCCTTCCTAAAATACTAACATTTGTGGAATCCTCAATTCATATATTCCATTTATATCTTTCTAGAAATAAAGTTTCTATACTTTCTCTTTTTCTTCAATTTAAATTTCAAAATTTCTTCTGTCTTTGATTTTTGTCCGGATCCATTCATGCAAACAGAGAGAGGAATACTCATCAAACAAAGTTTCTATTTCTATATTTTCACTGACATATTTTGTGGCATGCATGTTATATAAATGGTGAAAGTATTAATGTCTATAATATTTATTGATGCAGAGGAAGAGCAAGCAAAGGAATTAGAAAGGAAACATCACAGGTTCCCTCCCATTTGGGGAACAGCAATCCGATTCCTAACTCATGTGGTGAAGATCTTGCTAATCATTTGCGGTGTTGGTAAATCTATTGTCTCTTTTCTTTGTTGGTGAAAATCAGGAGGAAAATGTCACATGTTAGATCGCTTTCTTTTATGTTTTTAAACTTTCTTAAAATGAAAATATGAATACTTTGACACAAGATATTCTTGGTTAGATGTAAAATTACTTGACAGAAAGAAGCACTTGACAAATTAAAGTAGAGAAAGTTGAACATGTTTGCTTATTCTTTTCACGGCATGACTTTGATAACGTATGCAGGAGCGAATTGGATTTGTAAAATCCAAAGAAAGAAGGTGAAACACATTCTGGCTAAGCAAGTGATGAATGAACTAATTCAGCGTTCTTCTTCTTCTATGTACAAGTACGATTATAGTGGAATGAGTGCTGATGAGAGTGAGAAAGGTAGAAGAATGCAGTCACCTATTTTAATTGCAGCAAAGATGGGAGTGACAGAAATGGTTGAAAAGATCCTTGATACAGATCCAGTGGCTATCCATGAGGTGGACTATGAGAACAAGAATGTTGTTCTTTTGGCCATAGAGAACAGGCAACCTCATGTGTACAGCCTGTTGAATAAGAGGAGTTTGATTAGGGAAAATGTATTTCGTCAAGTAGACAAGCATGGTAACAGTGCATTGCATCTTGCTGCCACCTATAGGAATCATAAGCCTTGGCGTGTCCCTGGTGCTGCAATGCAGATGCAGTGGGAATACAAGTGGTATAAGGTCAACGTTCTTCCTATCTCTCCTAAGAACTTCAAAAAAACAAAGATTACAAATTAAGAGTGGTTTTCACTCATAAGGAAAATCTACATGTTATGACTTATTCAAATTGTTTGTAATAGTCCTACAGTTTAAAATCATGGTTTTAGTTCTTGTATTTTTTAAATGCAGTTTATTTTGTTTCTGATATAACCAAAATGAAATGTAATGTTAAAGATGAAATCTACAACATTTTAAGTACACAAAGATTAAAAGTATAGTTTTCAAAATTCAAAGAATAAAACATATTTTATCATAAACTATATATGTGTAACTGTATAACGAATATATAATGAATGACACGGTCATAACTTTTTTAAAAGAAGAATCACATGATTATGTGTTTTAATCTATCCATTTGAAACAAAATTTGGTAATTAATATTTATTTTTCTTACTATTGTGTGAAAAAAAGATCTCAACTAGGTACATCTTGTGTTTGAAGGTATACATCATATTAGGGTCATTTTTCATTACAAGTATATTTTGGCATTGATCAAATTGATTGTGTTCTTCAGCTAGTTAAGGACTCGATGCCACCAAATTTCTTTGAACGTTACAATAAGAACGGGCAAACAGCAAAGCAGCTCTTCATTAGTACACACCAAGGACTTGCAAAAGAAGGTGGGAAATGGCTCACCAAAACCTCAGAATCATGCTCAGTGGTAGCAGCACTTGTTGCAACCGTTGCATTCACAACCTCGACAGCAATACCAGGGGGTCCTGATCAGAACACAGGTTATCCATTATTTCAAGGAAGACCTGCTTTTAACATCTTCGCTGTAGTATCGCTAGTTGCACTATGTTCCTCTGTCACAGCCCTTGTTTTATTTCTTTCAATACTCACATCTCGTTTCCAAGAAAAGGATTTTGCTTTGGACTTACCAAGAAAGCTTCTCCTGGGATTGACCACACTCCTCACATCTATAGCATCTGTCTTGGTCTCATTCTGTGCAGGGCATTTTTTTATAGTTGAAGATGAGCTGAAATATGCAGTTTATCCCATATATGTTGCTACCTGTTTACCTGTGTCGTTTTTTGCGTTTGTCCAACTCCCTCTTTACCTTGATCTGTCCTTGGCTATGATAAGGAAGGTTCCTCAGCGCAGCTACAATGTACACTCGCACGAAATGCATCGTCATCATTAGCTCAACTCACTCAATACTTTTGGACTACTCATTTCCTTGTTTAGTATTCTTTTTTAATTGTTTGTAGGCAATTATCATATGCACTCTAGTTATGAAGTGCATTTTACAAATTTCATTTCCCAATAATTATCTATCTATTTACACATATTTATTAACTACAACGTGAGCTGTCAACCACTTTATTGTAAGCCTCTAAGCCTTTATAGTACAGCAAAGTTATGCTTCGTGTAATGATTATGGTACAACTGTTGTGGGTTGATGTCAATTTTATATTTTTAGATCAATGTTATTATCACATTTCTCTCCTGTTTGTAGCATATGAAAGGATGAGAACCGTGGAATAGCGACCTATTTCCGAAGGGGAAAAAAAGCATGAGAACACTATGAAAGATAAAGTACATGAGATACCACCAAAACAACATACTACGCTATTTCATCTCCCAAACACTACCACTAAGATTTATAACCTTGGTCTGCATCACTCGACTGTAACAAACGGATGCAAACTAACCAACTAAAAGACGAGCAAAAACACCTTTCAAAGATTTGTACACGATAAATATATTAACCGGGGAGGGGGTAGGACATGCATTGGGAAATATCTACATCTGACCTAAACTACAAATGAAGAGGAAAAGTAAATATGGAACCATTCTAATTACATTTAGTCACAGGTTTAAATGTTCTGTCGTCTCTTTTCAACCATACGGTCGAACGAGTTTTCTTCACATTGTCTGCAAAAAGTCGATGCCTGCAACAGAAATGTGCACATCAGGACTGAACTACCATAGATGCTATTAGCACACAAAATGACGAAACCCATTATTTAGAAGATGCAACTTTGTAAGCACTAGACTAGACATTAAAAATTTGGGAGTAGAATCTGCTACGGAATTGGCTGTATATGATACTGACAAACACTCCAACCCACTACGAGGGAACAAGATGTGTCTAATGAAAATATTCTTCCCAAAAGAGATTCAACTCTTTTTTAAAGGAGAAGAGAGAGAAATTTTATAATAACGTGAAAACAGGCCATAACACTAGAATGTGTCAAGTCGGAACACCAGAGTTACATAACGAAAGACACTCCAACGGAAAGAGATTCAAGTTCATTAGTAACATGAGCTAAAGAACAAAAAATCTGACCTTTCATACTCCAGCTTCTGAGTAACTATGCCATTCAGCAACAGTTCAGAACTGTACACCATTACCCCTGCAAGTGCAAAACATGGCATTCTTAATTTTGCATACGTTTCAAGTTTTCAAAGCCAAATGAAACAGTTTCTAACCCTTTTCAAGAAAAGGCACCAAAGAGGCATAATCCTCTTCACAGGATATGATCAGCAAATCATCTGGAACCGTGTGGCCCTTCAAAATCGATCTTCCTACTTTCTCCACCACCTAGGAAAATTGTTAACAAGCAAAAATAATAATTGAGATAGATCAAGTGTAATGTTGGAAACTTGAGCCAAAACAAGACTTGTTGAATTGCATTTAGTGACATACACAGGTGTCTATGTTTTCTGGAAAAGGAGAAAAACAACCAACAATTTCCCCATTACAAATCATTTACTGGATCACAATATTGATTAATAATTACTGATTTTATAAATAAAATTTATTTGCTTACTATTCTATACTATTTGTTCACAGAATATCATGAAAAGGAGGAACTATCACAATTCTAAAGATATGCTTTTCTTCAACCATATGAGTGCAACGGATTAATATACATGGATAAAGAATGCATACCTGGCCCTGAACTGCTCTTGCTAAATTTGAAATAATCTCTTTACTAGGTTTAGTATTAGGGGTGATCAATACTCTTCGACCCTACAGAAAATTATGATCATTTACCAGGAACAACATGAGGATAAAGTGTTCGTGTATAAAATAGGTAAATTAAACTTGTATCTTTCCAAATCTTAATTTAAATTCTTGTTCACTTAGTTTTGGTGTAATATTTTATCCCCACTAAGCAATATTTTGCTGACGTGGATTCATAATGAGCAACTTAGTTTTAGCATTGAATTTTATGAAGTGAACAAGTTTACAACTATACATGCATAGATGAAGAAGCAACAGCAAAATTTCACCTCAACAATAAACTAACCAGGGAACTTAATAGCATCATCAGATTGAAAACTATGGTGACAACTGGTTACAATCAAAACCAGAGGGGACAAGATAAAAGTGGTAAAGTAAGAGGATTATAAATCTAAGACCTGTTAATAAACAACAATAGTAATTGAGCCTTATCTCACCGGCTAAGGTAGGCTTGCCATATACAGAAATGCATGTAGGACATATTACATGAAAACAATTTATAGGTGAGCCAGATAGATGTGTCCAATAACCCAGTGAATCATTGCATCGATGGTCAAAATTTGAAATTGATAAAAATTTGCATGATTACTTTAGAAAAACAAATGACTGTTATTACAATCCCAATTGGTGACAAAAATTCCATAATCCAAGAATTAAGAAATACTCCAAATTCCTTTCACTACGTATGTTCCACAAACTACCTTCAAAAGAGGATTCTCGATTGCTCGTGCTAGTGAAACTGGCAAACTGAAACCTAACTCCTTTTCCTTTTTGGCATCCCTCAATATGTGATGTCTCTCGTCAATAAAACAGTGAGCTTGTCCACAGCTCTCAATCCACAAGTGTGTGACCACCAGTTTACCAAAAGCAATAGCTTCCAACATATTCCTAGTACGCACAAATTGATCAGCTATAAAGTGGGTAGCATCTGCAATGGAGGATACCACAGAAACTCCAAGTCGTGCTAATATCTGCAATGAGCACCAGAATATGGCTGAAAACACATTTGTACCTACTGATAGAAGTTTACATAAAAAAAAAATGATACCTTCTTCTGATGCTTAATAATATCTTCATCCAAGTGCCGGCTATAAAGAACTCGAACATTGGTCATGTCCCTCCTCTTTCTTGAATCTTTAGAGGGAGTAAGCAATTCAGGTCGGATGACACTCAAGTTTTGAAGTTCTCTGTGGAGCTCCTTTCGAGACACATTAAGAAGGCATGATGTGGAACGACTTCTATTGCATGATTGTTTGTAATATTCGTCGCCCATACAAACAGGTGATGCATCAATCACATGCATCTTACATTTCGATGGAGTTGCAGATGCCAAGTCAGATGACTTGGCCCTCTCTCTCAGCGATTCATCTGAACTGGTGGTGGCTTCAGAACTATTGATATTATCCCCTGGGTTTGCTTTATCTAAATTTAGCTCTGATATATTCCTTTTCTGAACAGAATATATTACTGAACCATCATTTGGAGATGAGTGATCTCTGCAATTCACATATGATTTGACAACAGAATCTGTTTTCATTTTCCTCTTCCTGTCAGTAGATTTCCCCGTATCTTCAGGTTGTGCAGCTGGCTTGGATGAACAAATTAATGTCTCAGATCCTTTATCAAGGTTAGACAACTTCCTAATTCTCAAAGATCTGCGTCTTTTAGGGCAATCTACTATATCCATTTCAACATCGTCACTGAAACTAACAACATTTTCCGTCAGGGCAGAATTCTCAGAATATCCTGTAGATTTAGAATTCAATGCTTTTGACACCTGTAGGTCAATTCCACTGTTTTTCTCAAGGGTATCAATCCCTATATTCCCATCTCTCAAACTCTTGGGTGGTATATCAAGATTTACTGATAAGGATTGTCTAGTTCTGTGGGCAATTGGTGAAAAATGCCAAACACTATCCTGAAATTGCCTTCTGCTGACCGAACTCCCTCTATGATTGCCAAGATTATTCACTGCATCATGCTGGACTCTTTTCAAAGCTCCAGCTGACTCTCTTTGTGTAATTATGGGAGACAAGGATACTCTACCATTTTCATTATCACTGGAGCCTTGGTTGCCTTCTGCATTTAACTTACTCCTCTTTGATCTTGTCATCATACTATCCTTTGTGCACTGCCTGGCTTCTTTAGTACTTCTCTTTGATAAACCTGAAGTTTGCAACATTGATTTAACATTAACTTTCCTTTTCCTGTCATATAGTCCCAAATGTTCCTTTGATGAAACCAGCTTCACTTTTTCAGTACAAGAGTTATTAAGTTTATAAGTTAAACCACTTCTAGTAACATGAGCAGTATCATTATCAACAATATCCTTGGCATTGCACAATGATTCCATAGCCTCAGCAGCCATTTGAGTATCTGGACCTACATCTAACATCTCCCGTGCATCTGCATTAGCATGCGGCTTCATCTCTCCTCTAGAGCAATCAGTGTTCAATTGTTCATCCAATTCATTAGCAAGATTTCGTCTTAAATTCATTGCTGCTTCTGGTATAACATTGTCCCTTGCTTTCAGAATATGCATCCCTAGTCTTGAATCAGAATGAACTGCGGTCTTTCTTCTATTATGAATATTTGTGTCTTCCTTATCATCATTTAGACTTAGTTTGTGTATTTTGCTCTTCCAGAATCCCGGCAACGACATTGGCCTATGTGTTTCCCCCTTAAAAAAATCTTCCTTTCTCCTTAAATATATATCTCCTCCACCCTCATCCTCACGGCTATCATCCCAGTCATAAATCCCAGTTCTTCTAGCTTTGCCACTATCATTTACAGTCTTTGCCCAACTGTGCTGCCTTTTTGTACTGGGAATTGATTTTGACTTTTCCCCCATATTCTTAACACAGTTAGTTTCTTGATCAAAATCCGTGATATTATCTTTGAGAAACCTATCTACAAAGTCAAGAGCATTGACCTGTGACAACACTCCAGGTTCTTCAGAGTTAACATAGCTTAACCCTGCCAATTCACCATGGTAAATAGGCAGCTTGTCTAAGTCATCTCCTTCATTTAATGCATTGCAGCTAAGGGATGGTCCATTTGTTTCAACAGGTACATCATCATTGAAAAGTTTTCTCACTGTCGACTTAGCAACCTTGCACAAACTTTTACTATTAAATCCCCCAACTTCCACACTGTATTTCCCATGCTCATTTTCCTGATCAACTCCCCGTAACTTCTCAGAACAACTAAGAAAGGATTCTCGATTATCCTTTACAGTCAATGATTCCTGACAAATTTGACTAGTACCCTGGACAGAATTGGTCGCAACTTTATTTTCTTTCAAATCCACATTATGATTGGCAAGTGCAGCTTGCCGCAAAGATTCTACACGGAGAAAAGTAAACCGCGGTGGCATTGGACCTGAGAAAAATATAAACTTTAACATGAGAATCACATGTTACATTTCAAAAAAAAAAAAAAAAAAAGTGGAACAATTTACAAAATAATCAGCTTGCCAATGTATTTAGTCCTATAGAGAAAGCTAATCAAAACATAATCTTCGATGAAAGTCATTCGAAGTCCATAGTTCATGAAACGGGTATAGACAAAAAGTTTCCACAAAACGATCATGAATTTCAATTTCCAGTAAAATTGCCAACACGCGTTATCAAACAACATAGAATTAAAGGCAAACAAAATAAACATTATTAAAATCACCACTTTTCACTTCACTGTTCCCGTTTCTCTTCATCAAACCAACTGATGAAATATCTAAATTCACAGACACAATACAAAATCCTTGACAGCTGAAACAGTGACAACTACCTACCGACTTACCAGAAGCTCCCAAACAATGCACGCAAGGTAAAGGAGGAAAACCAAAAAAAAAAAAAAATTGACTCACTCACCAGAACTGGTTCGCTGAGACGATTTACCCTTTTCGCTATCAACGGCTTCACCACTGTCACTGTCAACAGATGCCTCATCATCATCCACATTCTCCAAAACTTGCGTTGTATCCGATTCACATTCTTCCCCCAGTAACTGCGTCTCACCACAATCCAACGCCTGAGTTTCACCGGCAAGGCTCACCACTTCGTTTTCCATATCATCATCATAGTCATCCAAAGCCTGAGTTTCACCAGCAAGAACCACCGCCTCGGTATCCAAAACGCCGTCGTCGTCGAAAGGCACTGTGTCTTCGAAGTACCGCCACTCGTTGTCGTCGCAAGCATCATCCTCCGCGCCTAACATTTCGCCAAATCAAACAAAAATGTTAAATTTTATGCAAAAGTAGGAGTTTCAGTCACAATATAGACAAATTGAAGAAGTGAAGCACTGACCATCAGCGTCGAATGGTTGAGTGTCAACGTAGTCGAAATCTGCGTGGACTCCGCGACCATCTTTGCCGGTAGAATGATTCGGACTCATCCCTGAAAACCCCTACCGAAATTAGGGCACCGAAAGAGAGAAGAAAGAATTAAAGAGTAGGAAAATTTTTGGAGGGAAAATATCGCGGTTTTTTGGGTTAGTGGACCACTTGAAAGAACAGTGTGAAAAAAGGTAGTGCAAATGGTAACTGGTAACTTTTTCACATTTTAGGGTTCTACTTTTGGGAAATTCTTCCAATTCTCCACCACTGTGTGCCTACCGATTCGTTCTCTGTGGAGTAACGACTTTAGTATGTGACGGTCGTTTTTTTCTCACTTTTCAAATATAAATAACAATGAGATTTTATTACTTTCTATTCCATTATTTATTTATTTATTATATTCAATAATTTATTTAATCATATTATTATTACTATTTTTTTTTTAAATCGATACAATTTGGTCTAAATTCACACTTTAGTATGTTTAGTCTCAATTGTTGACAATGTAACTTAAAAAAATAAATAAAAAGTATGACTACAAATTAATTAGACCTACAAATCAAATAAATAATCAAAATATGATGAAGTTATTATTCATTTGTTCTTGAATAATTGTATTGTTATAAAAATACATAACTAAATATTACGTGACAATACACATTTGAAGTCACTTTTAAAGTATACTATTTTTTAATTAAAATATTATTTTTGCTAATAAACCACTTAAAAATGTTGTTTTCATCCACAAATATTAACATCACTAATACTTAAAAAAATGTAAATATCAATAATTTATATTTTCATAGTTGATACTGAGATTTACAAGACGAAAAAGTAAGCATTGAAATAAAGTTAAAATAAATATTTTAAATATTTCTTAATTATTTTTTTATAATCTTAAAATTGATATAATCATCTTCATCTGTTCAAAATATATAATAATTTAAAGGAAGATAACTGACATAATTTATTATTTAAATAATATAGTTATTTTGTAACTATATTATCAATGTGGGCATTTGGTCTAGTGGTATGATTCTCGCTTAGGGTGCGAGAGGTCCCGAGTTCAATTCTCGGAATGCCCCATTTTTTTAAAGCCATTATAATGGTCCATTTCTCCTCTTTTACCAACTTCTGTTACTTTTAATGTTCAAAAAATTAGTTTTTATATATTTTTTTTGGAGAAAATTTGAGACAAAAACTTTATGAGTAATTTATTTATTTAATACATGTGCCAAAGCAAAAAATATATGGGTTTTTCGGATAAAATTTGAGACAAAAACTTTATGAGTAATTTCTTCATTTAATACTGTTCCAAAGCAAAATAGATTTGGGGGCATTCCAAGAATCGAACTCGGGACCTCTCGCACCCAAAGCGAGAATCATACCACTAGACCAAACGCCCTGCACATTGAACCTTCTTTTTTTATTATATAAATAAATGTTATTAAATTATTTTTAAAACATGTTATGAAGTTTCAGTGGTCGGAGAACTAGTAATAACGTTCAAAACTATTTTATATGTCGATAATATTTATAAACTAAATTTTTGAGAAAATATGTATTTACTATATAAAAGTTTTGTGGGGACGATTTTGAAAAAGAAATGTTAATATGACATTGCAATTGTCATCCTCTTATGCCATACTGCCAATTATTATAAAATTAATGATAATTTTGTATAAAAGCATCATCTTTAAACTCGCACGGTACTCAACCAAACCTTATACATATATGCACATTTGACATCTTAGAAAACTTTTTGCAGCTTTCATTTTGAAACTGTGAATGCAATTTTTGTGCTTGGAAGTCAAGATACATTGCATACAGCTTAAGCCAATTCACTCACATCACATGCTGTCGTTGTTTAAGTTCAATTGCTTTAATAAATACTAATTTCAAAGCATAACAACACTAATCGCAACTCAAGTTCTACCGGACGATAAAAATGCAAAGAATGCAACGAGAACCAGCAATACCTCCTTATCTCAGGGCTAGGGCCAGGGCTAATGTCATATCAACTGTGATCATGCAAGAGCTATTACTGCATAGACACAGAAGGCGTATTGTTTTTATCTAATTTAAATCTAAACAACTACTGAAAAGAACTGTATCCAAAAACTGCCATTAGGACTGCAAATTTTGCTTCCCGGCAAAGGGTCATACATAAATACATTAAACCTATTCATGTTCAGTACAGGAGCCCAAGGATTATATTATTTGTTGCTAAAATAATGAACGGGTAGTGCTCCCGGATCAAGCTCCCAGAAGCCTCTCAGATTGCCACCGTGTTCTTCTGATAGTTTGAAGGCAGGGATTTGGTGGGAGAACCTGAGCAACTCTTTCCAGAATATTTTCACGCTCCTAGCTGATCCTGCATTCGATTTGCCCTTAAAAACTGAATTATAACCACTTACCAACTCCAAAGGGACGACTTCCATCCACAAATCATTTTCTCCAACAACTTCCACTATGTCATACTCCAAGTTTTCCAGATCAGAACGTTTTATTTTAGTGGTCCAATCCTTATACAATGCCCAAATTTCACCTTTCCTTGGAAGAATTTCATATTCCTTCTTCTTCTTACAGTCAGTAATAGTTTGCACCTGATGTGAAATAGAATAGGTGTTAGTATAAATGTAGGGACGAGCACCTGTTATGATTTTAAATCTTCCAATGGAAACAAGCATCTCTTTATCTTCCCATCTGACACTGTCCTCCGGTAGCCAGCAGTTAGTAAGATAAGTAACTTGCAACTCAAGTTCTGGACTAGTACTAATCTTCTTAATCAGACCATAGTATTTTGGTAGTCCATCCTCATCCCCATAAAATGCCCAAATCTGACCAACCTCAAACTTTTCAAGGGACCTCCCAGCATCAAAATTGTAAAACTCGGGATCTGGAATTTCAAAAGCATCGGCAGCTGAGGCTGAAGGATCACTACTAATATGATCAATGGGATCCTTGTTCTCCTCTGAAAAGTTGCTTCTTCTCAAAGTTGCATATCCCTCCGAACACATTGCGAATTTTGACATATCTGAAGACCTTGTGTCATTCCCGCTAGATGGACAATGACCAACCTTTACTTCCACGTCTACAGGAACAGAAATTTCTTCAATATTCATTGGCAAGGATACAGGATCAAGTTCATAAGACCCTACAGGAACACCAACTCTTTCCTGACCAGTCATTTTAAAAGATGGAACCCTGTGAGAGAATCTGAATAACTCAGCTGATGGAATTTGAATAGTATGCTTGTCTCCATCCATTCGAGAGAAGAGAGACACAAAACCTTTCAACTTAGCCAAGTATGCAACAAGTACTCCCACACCTTCAACGTAATTTGACAAGATTTCGACAAATTCAAAATCATACTGCCGATGAGACTCCGCATTCATATGCCATTTGATATCCCAATTTTTAAAAAGAGCCCAAGTTTCTCCCATTCTAGGATATACTTTGTAAGTACTGCGGCCAATCTTTTCACAGACAATAAGATGAGAGAACATCAATCGATCTTCAGTGGTCTCTGTATTACCAAGTTTATGTTTCCCACAAGCAACTGGCAATTGCTCATTTACCCAGTGGATTTCGTCTCTTTCTTCTGGATCTGGTTCAAACCATGTTATCCGCAAATTGAATCCAGGAGAGAGAACTTTTCTGATTATAGCATAGAATCGAGGCATACCATCTATAGTATCATAAATAGCCCAAATCTGCCCAACAGCAAAAGACCCCTCTGTCTTATCTTTGTCAAAGTCACTAAATTCTGCATCTGGATAAACGAAATTATCTGGTTGATTTGATGATTTCGAGGGTGAATGCTCTGAAGCTTTGTCAGTCTTTGGGCTAACCACTGCCTCTTTTTCCCTCGTCTCCTTAAGCTCCTCTTTTATATTTTGAATGCTCTCTTCAAAATAAAAGCTCTCCTTCCGCTTTACTCCCGGCTGATCTCCTTTCTGATCAGCAACCAAACCATTCTGTTCATTAATGTTAGCTGCCTCCCCAGGCTCTTGTTTACCAGAACCAGATGGAGATCCACTCCCTTCATCATCACTCACATTCTCCTTGTAGGAAACCTGGTGCTTTTGCCGTGTAGATCTACGTGGATTCTCTTCTCTATGAGTAGAAATACCAGGAACACCATCATTGTCATAACGAACATCCTCTTCTGATTCAGAATCAGTGCTGCCTACAGATTCAGAACTTTCACTGGATTCAGCTGCCCGCTTTCTCCTTCTCTTTTCATTTGGCTTTACAGGGACATCCTCAGTAGGATCTTTTTTCTGATGTGATTCTGTATTTGATCTGCGAGTATGCAAATTACCTTGAGATCCAACACCAATATTGAAAGCACCATGATTCTGACTATAGTTCTGTGCACCAAAAGCTTGATGACTTGAATTAGTTGCTGGTGTTGTACCTTGCATATTAACATCATATGCAATGAAGGGCCTATTGCAATGTTGACAGCGAAGAGATCTGTTTAAAACTTCCCTATAATACTCATATCTAACAGAACAAAAAGAGCATACAGTCCAAAAAGTAGGGCGGACACCATTAAGCCCCTGATGAGATGTCTGCCTACTCTGTTGTTGCTGGTGAGGATTTAAGTTTGTAAAATTGGGTCTGACACTGGTTTGCATCACAGGATTAAAATTCATCTGAACATTCTGCTGATGATGAGATGGCACAGTAGTTCTGTTCATTGGAACCCTGCGCAAACTTATGTCAAGCCTATCTCGTTTTTCTCTATCCAAAAGAACTCTTTGAGCTTCCCCAATCAGCTTAAATGCAGCTTCTGCACCAGCAAACTTGTTTTTGTCAGGATGAAGTTGGAGGGCTAACTTCCTATATTGCTTCTTAATTGTTGTATCATTAGCCGTCAGCTCAATTTGAAGAATTTTATACCAGTTCATCTCATTGCCAAACAATTTCTGCTCAGCAGAGAAATGAACATCGCAAACAATAAGCATTTGATTAATATTCTCCAAATCAGGATATAGCTGCTGAGCCTTAAGAGCAAATTTTCGAGCCCCATTAAAATCTTTGTTTTGCATTTTCTTTTCAGCAATTTCCTTGGCCCTTACGGCTTCTTCTTTATTGCACTCCATTAAAAATCCAGATTTCAAAACCTGAAAGGGAGTGCTATGACCAAGCACATCAACAACTGCGTTACATTTAATTTGTAACTGGCTAGCCAAATGGAAATGCAAATTGTGAATAAATCTTCAAAAACCCCCACCAGTCCCCCAAAATATTACAGTCTGCACATTCAGATTAACCCTGCAAATATTGTATAACTTGCAATTATTAGATCCAACATAACAAAAATCTTAAGAAATGAAGTGAGTTGTTGATATCACAAACAAATTTCTAAACACAATTAATGCATCAATAGATGGACAAGATCTTTCAATTTGTTAGAAAACAACAGTGGAAACACAATAGATACCGAAAACAGAGTTTCCAGATCACCATAAGTTTCCTCACTCGCTTATCATTGAGCTTTCTTTTTTTATTATTTTAGAACCCAAGCAACCCCAGGCAACATAGGCATAAAATACACAAAACCAGTGGAAGTGTTAAGAAAACAAATGTTAGAAATAATGCTTCCGTCCATTCAGGGTTGGTTCATCTAATCAAAATACTTAGCTTGATGTTTGATTCTCAATTTCTCGCTGCCAACAGGGATAGTTTTTTAAGACAATTTACACATATCAACACCCAATCTGAAAATTCACCCTAATCAATCATCAAATTTTCATCTAAAATCTACTTTTGAAATTTCTTTCAAATACAATAATTTTATAAACCATAAAAACAACCATCCTATTCTAGTAATTTCAAGCGCTCTGTTCAAGGGACAAACTTTTAGAAAAGAGAAATGTGTTCAAGGGTCGAATAAATTTAAGAAAACAGTAAATATACAAGGCCCAGCCTAAGGCTCTATAAAACACAAAATCAACATATGAACGGATATGACAGTTACAAACACGAAGATACATAAATAAATAAAAAAAATCATTATTATAACATGATAATTAATATGTTCTCATTTTTTTCAATTATAGTGATATTTGCATTTCCTTTGGCCAGAGATTTTCTAAAAACTTTAAAATGCAATTAGGAGTATTTGATGTGTCACGCACAACGAATATATATCCAACTAACTATCCTTTGTTGCTCAGGGTTGCAGCATACCTGCTTTGAATGGGGTTGGTGTAGAACTCCTCCACCCTTAACTTCCACCAAGGAACAAAAAATCCCTCTATACAACTACAACTCAAAAACTAACCAAACAAATGCTAACCGTTTATACCTGAACCGTCACACACAGAAAACAAAATAAACTAAATAAAACTCTGATGTTAGAACAAGATTACTGTGCCATAGGCACTTCTTTATTTCACAAACCCTTCACTGCACGAGGCAACATTCAAACACCAAAAGAAGAGTAACAGCAAAAACCCTAATCTATTTCAAAATTAACAACCAAAAGCACAGAATTGTTAATTTTTTCTAAGGAAAAATAATCAACTTGAACAAACCCTTCCCCAGAAAAAATAAAAAAATCTACCTTTAAAACAAAGGGAGGCACTCGTTGCTTTTTTAAGTCAAGGGAAAATAAGTGAATGCACTCAACAATATTGAACATGCAATATGAGGCAAAAATGATTAAATCCCTAGAATTGAAAACCATGAAATTCAAAGGAAAAAAAAAAGAAGAAGAGGGTTTTAGAAATGAACCGGTGTGTACTGTGTACCTGGAGTAATTGAAGTTGAGAGAGAGAGGAGAGTAGATGCCGCACCCAAAAAAGGGAGCAAACTGCAAACTTGCTCTTAGTGAAACCCCAAATTAATATTATGATTGTTTATTATTAGGAATGTATTGTTCAATACTACCCCTTCAATTTTTTACTTTGCAATGCCGTTTCCATTGTAATTTACTTAATGTCTAGGGGTTCTTTCCATTGTTGTTTAAACCAGATTATTGTTGATCCAATGGTTCACAAATTTTTGCTTTGGGGTATTTTGGTACATTTATAAAGATAGAGTTTTACCCATTTCTAGTTCATAATAATAATCACTCACAACTTTTGCATGAATTATATGTAGGGGCATTTGGGTACATTCACACATGTAGATTTTACTCTTCCTCACCAAAGGTATATTTAGGGGCATTTTGGTACATTAAAAAATATATTTTACAACTTATTATGTTATTGGAAGAATTTTGATATATTTTAAATGACAATGATTTATTATATTTTTTTATTGATAAATATGAAACATTCAAATTAAATAAATAAGAATAAGATAATATATATATATATATATATATATATATATATAATTTATAGAGAATAGATTATTTTAATAGATAATTTAAAATGATTGGATAAATATTTTAAAAGAAATTAAATTTTAACAAATTAGAAAATAATTTTATTATTTAAAATTAGATAATTTTATAATTTGATAATTTTTTAGATTCTTTGTATTTTTGTTTTTAAATTTTATATTTCTTATATGCATATATTTTATTTTACTTTGTATCATTTTTTGCCCATTTTAATTCATTATAACTTACATCTATCCCCATTAACCTAATTTGATTCATTTCATAATCGTTGGACTCAAATAAAAATTGTCTAACCTATCCAAACTTACTGAGTCTAATATTATCTTATCGACTCAATCTAATTTATTATAATGAAATTGATATGTGTCTAATCACATTTAATTTATTTTAATCGAACTATTATAAATATGACCAATTTGTATCTACTTGGCCTAACATATGCTGATTTGATTTATTTTAATATGACTTTATATAATTTAACATGGCTTAATTCAACCATTCCTAATCAAATTTAACTTATTTATCTAAGCTATGTCTAATCCACCCAAAATCTCAAACATAATTTGACTTAACTTTACTTATTATAGTTTAACACAATTAATATTGACTTAATATTTCCTAACTCAATATGTCTTGTCTTGGTTTAACCTAACATATCTCGTATTGGTTCATCCTACTCATTTTGACCTACTTAATCTTATCTAACCAACTTGGTTTAACTCGTCGCAACATAATTTGTCTTATCCTAATACAATCAAGGTCATCCTAATTTAATTTAGCTCAATCTAGTTGATACAATCTATCCTGACCCAACTAATTTATATGATTTTGATCAAGCTCAACATTACTAATTTTATCCCTCTCAATTTAATTCAACTCGCTTCTATCATGGCATGTCCCAAATAAGCTTAACCATGTGGATAAAAATTAAGTAATAGGTTATAAAAAATTAACATGTAATTATAACTTTTATATTTGGTATTAATTAAAATACTTAATTTCAAAAAGGAAATTAAAACTCAAATTTTGAATTATCTTATCTAAACAAGTTATCTAAAAAATAAATGAAATTAATTTTAATGTGTTTGAATTTAATAATAAAAAATGATATTTAAACGTAAGGTTACTTTATTGTTTAATATTCTATAAATATATATTTGTCACAAGTAAAAAAAAGTTAAATTTAGTATTATACATTATTTATATTTAATATTGTCAATATATCATTATTATCATCATGTTAGTATAAATATTATAGTCATTATAGTTAGGCATTACAATGAGGCAGGATGAGCGGGTGGGAGCAAGTTTTGTCCCTCCAACTTGTACTCCTAACTTTTTTTCATTGGTCTCACTCCGATTCTCACTACTAATCCTCATTAGGATCAGAAATTAGGTATTCATTTATGTTTTTATGAGGTTTCAAATTTTCCTACCTCAAACTCGTTCCCCTCTTACATTATTATTTTTAAAGTATACTTATAATAGATTAATTTTAATATTTCTTATGTAGTTTTTATAAAAAATAAATATTTATAATTTAACATTTCTTAATTATTATTATTAATTAAGTATATATTTTAATTTATTATATTTACATTAAAATATTTATATAAAAAACATTTAATATTTTTTCTTTATAAAAGTATAAAACACTTATATTATTATTATTACTATTATTATTATTATATATTATAACACTATATTCAAACATTTAATTACGTATATACATTAATTATTTTTTAAGATATCATCTTAAAATATTTATAGTTATAAAATATATAATTTATTAGAAATATATTTAATAAGTTAATTTTTATTTAATTAATTTAAAATAATAAAAATTTTGATTAGTCGTTACTTTTAATATTCAAGATACAATTATTTTATTATGATCAAAATTGATATATAATAAATAAGAATAATAAAATAAAAAAATATATAACAAAACAAGATATAATAAAGATGAATTATAAATTAAATAATATTAGTTACTACTAAGATTAATTTAGAATATTTAGAAAAAAATTAAAGAAACAACAAAAATTAACTTTGTATTTATCAAATCGGATGACGATATTAAAAAGATAAAATTGATTGAACATATTAAAGAAATATTAAAGAAATACGAAGAAGCAACAAATAAAAGAAAAAAATAATGTCATTAACTAATTAATGAGATTGAAAAAAGGCAAAATTATGAAAAGTGGGTAAAAAAAATAAAAATGGTAAAATATCGAAAAATGACCTTAAATAATGTGAAAAATAAAATAAAATATTTAAAAAATATTAATATTTTAGAATAAAAATTTAAATATAAAGTTGGGGTGATGACAAGTACGAGACTACGGTAGAGATTACATTATCCATTATCGTATGCGATCAAGTTTTTTTGGGTCAAACTTTGGGTGAAGATGGATTCATCATTGAGGGTATATATTTTATTGTCATCCCTCCTATAATTATTACTATCATAATTAGCAATATACTTATTATCATTATAGTTGTATTTATGATTGTCATGGTTATCATTACATCATTATTTTTTAATTAATAAATATGAAATTAAATACACAATTGTAAGATAATAAAAAATATATATAATTTTTGCAAAGAATAAATAATTTTGATAAATAATTTGAAATGTTTGAATAAATAATTTGAAAAAAATTTAAATTTTGAAAATTATTTTTATTACTTGAAATTAGATATTTTTTGAATTTTAGAAATTGAAATTATATATATATATATATATATATATATAATTTATGTATCTTATATTCAAATATTTTATTTTACTCAATAGCATGTTTACCTTGTTTTAACCCATTCAAACCTAGGGTAATTCACATTGACGTAACTCGACCCAATTCATAATCATTTGACTAAAATAAAAATGGTCTAACCTATCCAAATTTACTCAATCTAACATTATTTGCTATGACTTAACTTAATCCATTCTAACCAAATTGTCATGTGTCTAACCATACTTAACTCATTTTGATTAAACCGCTCTAAGCATGACTCATCTGCCCTACTTGGGCTAACCTATCTTAACTTGACCCAAGTTGGTTTGATTTATCTCAATATGAGTTTATGCAACTTGACATGATTTAATTCAACCTTTCCTAATCAAATTTAAGTTAATTATCTAAATTAGGTCTGACCTTCCTCAATCTCAAACCTAGTTTGACCTAACCTTACTCATCATAGTCTCACCTTACTTTTATTGATTTAACATATTCTAACTCTATATGTTTTGTTTCGATCAAACCTAACCTATCTTATATTGACTCGTCTTGACCTACTTAATTCAATATGACAAACTTGGTTCAACTCGTCTTAACATAATTTGTCTTATCCTAACACGGTCAAACTCATCCTAATTCAATTTAGCCCAATAGTCAATTTATTCTAACTTGACCCAACTAGTTTATCGATTTTGATCAAGGTCAATATCACTAACATTATCTCTCTCAATTTAGCTCAACTCGCTCTTATCATGGTTTATCCCAAGTTAGTTTAACCATGTAGGTAATAATTTATAACTAATTAACACGTATAATTATTTTAATTTCTATATTTGATAATAATTAAAATATTTTATCTAAAATATTTAAAACTTAAAATTTTTGAATTGTCTTATCTCAATAAATTATTTAAAAAAACAATCAAATAAAATTCAATGTATTTGAATTTATTGAAAATTAAAAAAATGATATTCATTATTATGATAATCATTATAGTATTCTTATCATGTGTTAGACAAATGACATCTAAAAGAGGGTGAATAGATGCACAAATTAAATTAGATGCCAAATTAAAAATTTATTTTAAGATGTCCAATATTTATTAATTAAATTTTAATTATCAAATTGAACAAAGATAAAGCGGAAGCGATATAATTAAAGAGATAAAATATTAACAAGATAGAGAAAAATAGAGATAAAGATAAGGGGTGTAAGGAGAGTAATGCAGTCAAAAATAGATAAGGGAAAGAGAAGAACACACAATGGTTTATACTGGTTCGGGTATAACCAACCCTACATCCAGTTCCCAGTTAACTCTTAACA